AAATGAACATTTCAGATTCCATGAACTGCTTGGAATTTGTAGAGTAGCTGATAGAATATTCGTTTCATAAAAAGGCTATGCTGCACAGATTTGGTCAGATTATTTTAATACTTTGCTTTGTTTAATAACGTTGTGTCAAACGCATGGGTTCCAAGAATATTTTTGATGCATTTCCGTCGGACTAAACATGAGTCAGGTACTTTGTGCTGTAAAACAGGCTAGGTTCAGCACCCACCTCTTGCCCAAAAATAATATCCGCCTTCCACCATCTGAATAATTTCTTCAAGGACAAGGTGTAAAAATCGTAATTACCTGTCCACTCTTTCTTCAAGATTCACATTAAACTGCACTTGACACACCTGGCTACCCACAAAGCACCAAAGTAAACTCCGAATTTCAAAATTAACTTACAGCATAGAATTTTAATTTGGTGTAAGAGTGTAGAGATCCCAAACTGCATAAGAAGACATTACAGTGAATTGTATAGTGATAGAGGAATTATCAAGTCAATACACATGTCCGTATAAACATTAAGTCCGACTATAGATTTTAACATTTCTATAGTTATATATATAAAACTCTTTGCACTACCAATACAGGGATTTTACTATTTTGTGTGTTACACCTGATAACGACTAATTATAGTCGAAATATGTAGTGTGTGGTTATGAATGAAAGCAGGTAATTCTCCTCAATATACTTTTTTGTGGCCGTTGATAGAAATACTTGGGGACATGGTTCCTTAAAAAATCCAGCATTATCTGGATAGAACGCGATGAATACAATCAGAAGTTCCGGTCCCGAGAGAGAATCGATGTGGGTACCACTCAGTGAGTGTTACGACGTCGTAAATGAAGTTGAGTTTCACTTCAACTTAGCTCTGAATGGATATTTGTAATTGATGATGATAATAATAATAATAATAATAATAACCATGATAATGATAATAATAATGATAAGGATGATGATGATAATGATAATAATAATAATATGACATGAAAACGTAACGTCACTTACGGTAAGCCCTTCTTGGGAAGCAAACATTTACAAAGTTACTCATGAAATTCTCCGCCCTCTTACACGAATTTAGTTTTGTTTTGTGTCCTTGAGAGTTAATCCCTGCTTCTCGTACATTCCACTTCCCGGCACTTCATTTCCTAAAGATCCACCTAAATATTATTCTCCTATGTGTTTTCAGTTTTTCTAAGTTGGGTGCCTTTAAAGTTTGATAACCAGAAGTGTTATATGAATTTATTATCCCTGCCACGCGTGCTACAGTCCCTGTTTATCTCACCTCCATTGATTCCACCACAATCACCCTACTAAAGTTTAGTGTGGATTAACATTATAATGTTCCTTAATGTGTAAATTTCTCCAGTGTATTTCATCTTCCTCAGGCGAATAATTTTCTTCATAAATTTCTGCTCTAACACAATTAATCTACATAAAGTTCGTAAGTATAACGCGATTCACTTCTTTGTTGCCTCATGTGAGCTAAAAAGTGTGTTTTGCTTATTTTTTCTGGCAACGGAAATTATGCTATTGGCCATCTTGTCGGATGTTCATGCAAAGCAGTCGCAAAACTCAAAATACTTGTAATTCATAATCGAAAACAGAAGGACGAATTATATATAGCAAAGCACACAGCACAGTAGACCACGCGAATACGTGTACTATTCTCTTACATGACAACTTTCACGGAGGCTAGTTTCAGCAGTCACAGCCATGTAAGAACCCCACCATTATGCGTGCGTTGCTCTCACTATGAGAAGTTACATCTGCTTGAAGAGTTCTGTTTCCTGTAATATATCGCCGTGTATTGACTTGAAAGTCAACCGACATTTCGAAGCTGGTCACCTACTTCTTCAGGGTAGAACAACAAGATAAGCAAGAAATTAGCAAGAAGAGCTCTGTTCCTCCGAAATATCGGTTAACTTTCAACTTACTACAGGACGTTATTTCTCAGAAAGTGTAATACTTCATAACCAGCCCCGTGAAGACCTCAATCCCTACGTTTATGTGACTGATAATGAAGTTCTAAGAACAGTATTTTGGAGAATAAGGATCTAATATGACAGGACAGGGTCCTTCTTAAATGGACGATATTAGTTCAACGAGTTACAACATTCGAGACATATGCGGAATTAGAATGATGACAAGATCAGACCAAGCGACCCCTCCTGACCCTAAAATATGTATCCAATTCACACCTCCATATTCCATTTCCTTAATATCAGTTTGATACCATCCCGCCTTACACATTTGGATCTGTGAAGTTACCTGAAGAGTTGTCAGTATCTGACGAAGCAATTTAATAATATCGCATCCGAAACTTCCAAAGGGACTTACGCTGCCTCGCAATATTTCTAGTGTCAATAACCACAAAGAGGATGGGATTAATCAGATATGGAGCACGTGTAAACTTTGAACATTAATGTAAGAAAAATTTACAGGAAAGAGATAAATGAGATGGGATGCTTACGAGGCTAGTTCAATTCAACTTTACATAAACCCGCTCTTTTAATGGATACTATTGTAAACCTGGTGTTTTAAATAAACCATAATAAAAATGCAACTATTTATTTATTACGACAAATATATGAATATATACTACTTCACTTAACGCGGTAGCGTAGTTGGCTGAGGAATTATGCTACAAGCTGGAAGGTCGTTGGTTCGATTTTGATGAGGTCATTGGATTCTTCAGTTAACCTAGTCTTTCCAGCCGCATCATGACCTTTGTGTCGACTCAGCCTCTTACAGAAATGAGTACCAGGAATTTTCCTGGGGAGTAAAGGAGGCAGTTTGAATTTGTTCATCCCTCACACACCATCTTCTTTAGGCACCCATTTTAGTATTAAACTGTCCTGTACGTGGCTCTTAAGTGGTCTGCTCCAATCAAACTTGTATACATTTCTTATAGCTTCGTCTACTTGATTTGATAGCCCTAGAAGTGTCTGTTGGAGGGACCGAAAGAATATTCATTTTAATTAAATTTTCTCTATCTTTATATTGCCGCGTGTATTAGTGACTATAGACGGGGTTTGGATTGGTGAATTGGTATACGTCGTAACTACAAATAAATGGAACACTGTTGTTGATTTCCAAATCACTCCGCACTATGCCTTCTCAGTCTGTTTCCACTAGTCTTCACTTGTAACAGCTCTCCACAGTGGCTAATGCGCTGCAGTGTTTTCACTAGACATTTCCTGGTACGAATCTTAGCAATGGAGATTTTGGTTAACACTCCACAGCTGCACCCTCATTTGCCTTGTAGCGCCGATTGTATTCGAGCTAAGTCCTGGGCAAGGACCAAGCAAAAAACTTAGTCTCTCTTGTTGATTCGTGTTTACCGATTCATTGCATAGCAACAGTCGCGGTTGAGGTTTGTTTACCGAGCCGTGGCTTAGCAATAGGTATCCACGTGACAATATTATTTACTGCCACTAGGTTAAAACATTCCCCTTCAGATGACATTTCAGCAAACAGAATGAATGTAAACATATATCATAATCCATATAATTTTGGCATGATGAATAGAAAACCGTTAAATTTTAATTTTAGGCATGGGTTTTATACCTATTCTGAATGCGTGTTTTCCTTCCATACTTTGTCAAATAGAAATTGGTCCAGATGCTATTTACTACGCCAGTGTGACGCAACATGTCTTGATACAGCGTAGTATGGAAAAAAGATGTCCAGCTGCGCGTTGTGTATAAATGGGCGATCCCAAATATGTGTTCTACACAAAATTCCAGGAAACAAACTATCGTACATATTTGCAAAATCGTGCAATGAATAAAGTCACTGAACCTTCCGAAATGCCAGACAACTACCATGAATGAATTATCAGCACTGAAGGCCATGGATAAGCTTCATTACCGTTGTCCAGGAAAGTAATTCTTTAATGTACTTCTGGGGACGTAGGAGAACAGACAAAACATATACATACGCCAGCAGTAGATCCTACGAAACATTCTCTAAGGTTAAATCGTTTCGGAAAGCGATATACAGGTAAAAGTGGGAATGTGTGAGCGCGAGACAAAATTAAGTCCACTTGGATATAAAGTCTGATCTTCGGTTTTTAATATTATACTTTAATATAAAACAACTGCATTTCTCACTGCGAAATGGCTGCTTATGAATTGTAATAATTTGAAAGAACATTAAGAAAAATAAATTGGTCATCTTGATTTCGTTATGTAAGCTGTAGGCAGGACTTCAGAAGTTCGCTTCTCCTACTGCGTGACTACAGTCTGTATAGCTAAGGCAAATAGAAAATTTTTAGAAAGTTGCCAGTACATTGTGTAAATAAGCAAGTGTCAAGTTACTGGCTACGAAGTGTAGAGCCAGTTCCGTCTGTTTGTTCTTACTCATAATGCAGTATAAGCAAATATGAAACGCAAAATATCCCTAATATTACATTGCGTTATAAAACATTTTACAGCATAAAATTACACAGGAAATACTCAAGGTGAGAGATGCTATCATATTGAAATCGCCTTTTAACTGTTGTTTACAAACATCATAATAAACCAAATATTATTAGCTCAGTCTGAGTTAGAAGTAACTCCTTAACGACTTTGAATGGCTTGCTTTATATCTAAGTGTTTTGGGGGCGTTCCTAAAATATGAGTTACGCATAAATATAGAAATCAATCTTGAGTAGTATTACTTCATATCTAGCTTATCGTTTATTTTCAGGCGAGTTAAATTTTCGTTTTCTGTCTTTCTCCCCTTTTGCTTATGCGTTTTTAAAATAAAATTTTAATGCAATTTGTCTATTGCTTATTATAATTTACTTGACTATTACCTCTGACTGCACTCAAGCTTTGATACAGACCACAAGTAACAGAAATAAAACATCACTTCAACTCAAACACTGGCAAAGGAAGGGACGTTTTTGGTAAGAATTCGCTTCGCTTCAGTCCATAGTCGAAGCCGAAAGTGAGGAGATGCTGCACAATCTGGAGCAGTAATTATAATCGAATGTTGTTGCTATGACCCCCCAGCGCTATTTGCCTGCCGATGCATTGCAGGTAGCACTGGGACTTGCCTGCCTGGCTGTAGCGATTGTTGCCTACCCTGTGGAGTACGAGGATTTCCCCCACTACTCTCCAGCTTCAGTGCAGTACCAACATGCAGCGCCCTTGGTTAAACACCTCGTAGTAGAGAAATACGTGAGTTGAAAGTGTCAGCTTGTGTCAGTTGGCGCTAGAAAGTAACATTCCTTTTACAGTGGTAAATTTCGTACCAGTACGTTGGCCACTGTCCAATGCCTGAGGTATTCAGTGGCTCTGCATAATGCAGAGTGATTCTAAACTATTGTCGGGGTTTTCGTTGCCCGTAATTTTCAAACCGGAAAATAAAACTGTTTTCGTAATAAGAAAGTGTAACCCATAAAGTTTTATTACTTGTAGAATCAATACTGTACAATGCTAAACAAATTCAACATACTCACCTTTAGTGACACGTAATATGTCCAAGAAGTATTCAATTTCACAACCTCGAGAATAATTTAGAATCACATTGTATCTTATGGAGTGGACCCTAACTTCCATCTTCAGGTGACTGCAGTTATGCCGATGATTTGCTGCTACTCTTATTCTTGTTTAAATGGGACAAGTTGCCTTGTCTTATATGTCGTTTATGTATTTCTATTTTGCGTCTTTCTTTTGTTTGTGTTTACTTAATAACTGTCCGTTGGGACCTTGAGTAAACAAGTAAATAAATAAATCAAATTAACAAAATAAATAAAATACCGCATTATTATATTATATTTGTAGCTACAGTTGGAAGTATTTGAGAAAGAGTCTATCGAGACAATTCCTGTACCGCCCGGGGGCAAGGTTAGTGGATTAGCTTAGTATTCGAGAAGTAGAGAATTAGGTTCAAACCGCAATCATAAAACTCCTACTGAAAACAATATTGAAAGATCTGTCAGTAAAACTGTAATTAAGCATAGCTCCGCCATTCTTGACCTCGGCCATAGGTGGCGGCGAGTCGTCAATCTTCACGTCCTGGCCGCTTAACCAATAGGGAAAATTCCTTGGTACCCTTTGGGTAGGAGGCTAGGCGGGCCCCTAAACCCAGTGTGGACGCTGTGGGGTTGAGAAATATATCTTGCCCCCGCCGGGAATTAAACCCCGGCCGTACATCCTTAGCCCGTCGCTGTACCGACTGAGATATCGAAGCTCCAGAAATGGGATATATGAAAAATATAATTCATGATTCATTCTCTTTAAAATCATAAAAACTCCGTTCTCTACCCTTGTGTTTGTTCTTCGGACGTGTTATATGGTTCCGAATTTTTCTAACCAAAAATATCCCGGTAACCAAGAATTTCAGGGCAACTGAAATGCTTTAAATCTGCCAAGATCGGCTTTCAAATAACGGGTTGTTTTATAAAATTTATTCTAGGACTGCTAGTAGTGCGACAGATGTGTATATGTTAAGAAATCGCTGCCCTGTTTCACTTGTTGAAGGCGCACCCGAAGTACGAGTTCAAGTACGGAGTAAATGATCAGCACACAGGCGACATCAAGGAGCAGTCCGAACAACGAGACGGTGATGTCGTTAAGGGTCAATACAGCTTGGTGGAACCCGACGGCACCACCCGTACGGTCAAGTACACTTCCGACAAGCACAACGGATTCAATGCTGAGGTCATCAAGTCCGGCCACGCCACTCATCCTCCTTCTGCTCCCAAGAAAGCGGAAGCCCCTGTGGTGTTTGCCCACCAGCCCCTAGGTCAGGAGCATGCGCCTCTTAGTTTTGCGGCGCACGAGGCTGAACTGGGCGGTCTCGGTGGGTATGATTTCCACCAATGATAACACCAGACTACATAGAACACAAGACTTAACAGTATTCTTATCTGTGACGTCATCACTTCACGTCTGGAATTCGGTGTGCAACGCCTTACGGATTTGTGAGCTGTGTAACCATTGCGTGCAGTGACCTGTCCTTCATCCTATCACATTCTTAGTACGAGTTCGGACTCTACTGACATGATTATTCATTGATATGTTGGGATTTTGGACTTTATCCATCGTCCTGGTTTTTAAGATAACAAATAAAAACACGACGTTTCGGAAACTGGATCTGTTTCCGTCCTCAGGTGAAGGAAAACACCTATTCAGTTGGGTCCCTTAGAAAGAGCTAGCCTCAATCACTGGACCACTGGTTNGATTTGTGAGCTGTGTAACCATTGCGTGCAGTGACCTGTCCTTCATCCTATCACATTCTCAGTACGAGTTCGGACTCTACTGACATGATTATTCATATGTGCATATAGAAAGCAAAACTAATACTAAGCCCACAGTTTCTCCTCAATGAATATTCCTGCATTAGTGACGCCGTATTTGTCATAATAATTTGCTGTTGAAGCACATGAATAATTTTGCGGAAGACATATTAATTATGCTGACCACTTCATTTTCGAGAGCCAGATAGACAAATAATTACATTCATAATGCAGTTATTCCCCCATAAATTTTATGATAAGAATTTAATAAACCACAGTTCACGAAGATGTCTACATGTCTGTTTTTAATTCTACAATATCAAAGTCACATAAAGATCATAAATACAGGCATAATTATATACAATACGATAATATTTACAACAGTTCATTTACGGAAATATGTCACTGTAGTCTTGTAGACATATCTTTGCCTGATATGTTTTAATGCAAACATGGATGATACACACGACTATTTAAAGTTGTTAGAAGCGTTGGAAACTGTTTACAAGCAAGCGAAACATGACCACGATGTTACTTATTCTCACACACTTATTTATAAATTTTACAAAATATTTCTTTTCTTGATTTGTATTACAAACATAGAAGACATTGTAAAGAGTGTGTCATAATTAAAAAGAGACGAGCACTATTTCATATAAATAATTTTTACAATATTACGTGAAGTAGAATATTTTTCAAATAAAGGCCTTAGTTTCTAACTTAGTTAAAGCGATGTCTTATGCCAATTAACATACCATGTTTCCGTCTAATGAAAAAAAGACACAGGCAATGCTCATATATAAATAAACGAAATACAATTTTGCAGAACATTAAGTATCTACATTGTTTTAAATAACAATAATTTCGGCGGCAGTGTCAGAAGTTGGAAAGAGACAAGAAGTTTTTGTTACAACAGGATGTAAATTTCCATCTAAGCGTATGTAGTCTATTTCGTTGTGTTGATTACATACTGTTAAAAAAACCGACATGTTTCTGTGTACAATACCGTCGTCAGGGGTTGTAACATATTAAAGGGAAAGTTTACAATTTTTATTAAAATATTAAGTATGCGAGTCATAAACGCCTTACAAAAGATTAAACTAATATTATCTAAGTATTCATTGGTATAGACCAGAGTTATTATATTTCAGCTGATTAGTGCGTGTCGTGTTAACTTTTATGTTGCCATTTTGTAACAGTTTTATGTTTCGATAAGGTGTAAATCTGCTTTTTCGCTGTGGTTCTTGGTAGGTGAAATACTAAAGTACATACTGAATGGAAAATTTGCAATTTATATACATATATACAAACAATTTAATATCCGAATAATATATTCTTATAATAGGTTAAAACTGATATTATGTTAAAATTCATATAAATAGGGCGTAGTTAATGAAGTTCAGTTGATTACGGTGTGTCATGCTATTGTGTACTTTCTCACATTTCTTGTTTAACTATATTTAAATGGCCATTTACAACCTATTCTAATATAGAGAGTGTATCGGAAAATGAACCCTATCAAAATATGAGTTTCATATCTCTAAATACGAATTTGGAACAAACTTAGTAAATGGTTGCAGTCTAGTCATATAATTTAATTTCTCTATTGGCATGTCTGTTGTGTTTCTCTTTTATATTTTAATCATAACTTCCCTTCAAAATTCGTTTACTGCAACTAATATAATTCCGTTCTTTCATTGATTTTGAGATACCGTATTTGCTTTTGAAACTGTAGATAAAAAAATTCATAATCAAAGTTACATTATAAAACATTTTATATATATGAGTTATTCAAAATTTATAAGAGCACCAAAGCAATTTATACGCGAACAGTACAAGTAACAACATTAGCTTGAAGCGTGTTGTCTTGGAGTAATTATCGAAAATGTAAAAATAAGAAAAAGAAATTCCTGCACTAGTTTCGGTATGATTTTCATGCTAATATTCTTGGCTTGAAACTTACTGAAATGCGAATGAATATCAGGCTCTTGAGGACGTCACTACGGGTAACAGCTCAGAGATTAAATGCATACTTTTTATTTTTGTAAAATCATTTTATATTGCTGCATGTATAATAATTGTAAATATAAAATTCACCTAAATATTATGTATTATTTTAGTATATTTCATTTACCTTTAAAGTGTCACTGACTTGTAAAACACCTTTTGTCTCTCTTTATTTAATAAAGATTGCTTCAGTGCCACGTCAAATCCTAGACAACGGCATTTGTATGTAATGAGAAAAATGTAATGTCAATGCAAAATATTTTTAATTTGATTACCAAAAATGATAACCACTTTAACCATTCAAATAATACTTCATATGGTGAAATGAAACAACTACTTCTAGAAATTGTGTATGATGTAAGTTTTATAATAAGCTGTTTCTGTCGTGCAATACCGTATATCCTTCGGCGTAGTTTGTAAGTAAACTGAAAGTCCGGCCGGCTCGTAAGGCTGACAACCTTACCGCCATCTGTGAGCCGATTATCTAGAAAATGTTGGCGCCTCGACGTCTCACAACCCTATGGGCCTCCACGGCCTGTTGCAGGAATAGCTTTACCTCTTCTTTAACAACAAACGGTGGAATATTAATTGTATTATAATAGTGTATCGGGCTTTGCATAGCAACGGTCGCCGCACGGACCACAGAAAACACCACTCCTGTATTGTTGACCGCGTATGTGTTGCGGGCGTTGCCTAACAATCAGTAATGCGTTACAATATTAAAATGGGTCTTATTGGAAAAAGTTTGTGAGAGTTTGAACTGGATTCACGTGACTCAGAATAGAGTCTATAGGCAAGCTGCAACAGTCCGGCAATTTATTGACTCTTATTGCTCATGGAGGACTTTGTTCTATGTTTTTTTTTTAAGAATTTTATGCATAATGGACACTAAGAACATTGACCTTCCAACAAACAATATCTGATTCTACGCAATATGATATATGATATGTGCAATAAACGAACATGAAAGCTCATGAGATATGTAAACTCGGAAAACGTGTGTACGAAACCAGAGCAAGGCGTTTCTGTTCCTCTTACTGTTCACAGTATGCCTAAGATAAAGGTCTGCCTCAGCGCTGAGCCCTGAAGCAAAGTGATGCAAGCTGAGAGGAGAGTTATATAGTACGAGTAACAAGTGCTGCGCATAGTGTCGAGTGTCACAAACCACAACAGCTTCTTAGCAACCGGTAACGACTTCTCAATCGAAAGTACATAGCCATTGTGCACGAACTAGGGGTCTCGCAGCGGTGGTTATGAAGAATTCTATCTGGGATATACGTAACTATTGCCATAATTTCAAGGGATTTCATATCCTTTCATCGAGTTATGTAAGCAGTTAGACTATATAGCGTGGGATGAATGGATAAGTTAGGAGAGCCGGTGTCCCGGACAAGATTGGAACAGAACTTCTAGTGAGTTACCGTTACCTCATCCCGCTCGCTAAGGGCTCCCTAACGACGCTCAGTTCTTCAAGAGACCAGGCTGAGAAAGTTACAGAGTCCACTGCGAGAGACCTGTACCCTTGGCTGATGTTACAATTCACTCTTATCTGCCTGGAGAGTTCGATTTTGACATCAGGAATTTACCTCAGTTAGGCAACGACCGCTTCCTTATAGTCTGAAATAGTGTGGTTGCTAGGCAACGATCTTGAAGTAAGCAGCTACAAAACAGCCACTGTTAAGTACTGGCAGCAACAGATACCTAACACGCAACAATGGAGTAACTGGGAAGCTGTGTTCGCTACATGATGCAGCAATAGAAAAACTGCTAGGAGCGGTGTTGTCTATGCAGTCCGTGCCGAGGCTATATAACGGGGAGCAACTGCCATTACGTAAGAGCCTTGAGACGGCGGTAAGAGGAGTAGGAGTTCGGTGTGAGTTGGGCGCCTGCTTGGGAGTTAGTGGAGTGGAGTTGAGGGTTCGGCAGTTGGAAGCCAGTTAGTTCACTCGGGAGCTGCAGTGAGATAGGCGACAGTCAGCGAAGGTGTAAAGCCTTGAACACGGAAGTTGAGGGATCTACGGCTTTGGAAGCCGATAACAGACAACCTGTGAAAAGACAGCAGACTGAGAAGACATAGTACGTGCTGTAGTGAACTGCAGATTGCGTGAATTAATGACAGTGCTATGGTTACTTGTCGTTACGACCTAATTATCATTCCAAACCCCATCTATAGTTACTCATGCACGTGACAATATAACCAAAATAACTTGATAGATTCTAGTATGAACGTTATAAAAAGGGCGGTTCAAAGTTCAATCAGGTTCTCAAAGTTATTACGGATAATGAAATGTGTTAGTTTACATATAAGTGAAATTAGAGAAAATTACATGTCGAGGAGCTTCATAAATTACACCATTCCTGAAATATTAACAGGAGACCAAGTCAAGAAGAACGAGATGGGAGGGGTTTGTTGAAGGAATATGAGAAGTGAAAAATGTGTATAAAATTTTATTTGGAGAACATGATGAGAAGAAATTACTTTCAAGACCTAGGAATATATGTGAGAGCAATATTAAAATGAACTGCAGCAGAATGTGAGGGTGCCAAGTGCATTCTTAATACTCAGATTCCAAAAATCCGTATGGACGAATATCATAGCCGTTTTCGTAAGCTTCGCAGACAAATACGCGTATATGTGACTGAAGCAGCAGCGGTGCTTGTCGGTTCTTCATACACACAAGCAGATTATTTGCGAAGTGGGTCACGGATCGCAACGGAAATATAATTCAGAATAGCTATAAAATAATCTTCATTATCTGTGAATGTGTTACACAGAAATTAGGACGACAGATGCTTATCGACAGACTTTAAAATTTGTTTAATTCCGGTGAGAAAGAGATGCATTTTGTATGTAGTATACAAGGAGCGTCCTGAATAGGCTACTTTTCTTAGAAAATTGAGCGCTGTTTTATTCAGATGTAGCAGTTGAAGTACAGGAACTACATTTAGATTTAACTACATAAACATTTTTGGTTGAAACGTCACATGTTCTACAGAATGTCCATTAC